CGACAAGTGATTATATTGTGCATTCAAATCATTACATTCATCCACACCTTCCCCTACTTGAGATTGTCATCCTAAATTCCCAAAATTAGTGATTTGATTTCAAGAATTGACATATCAACAGTTGAGATGTATGACGATGAGGTTGAGGAAGTGAACAGTATAGTCATGGAACTCAACGTGGAATATATTAGTGAGAATCAAATATTTCGGTTTACTTGACAACAACGGCTGAATCACGATGACAAGTAGCAATTGGTTTAAACATGAGTTCCCTAATAGGTAGCCGAATGAAATATGGTGCATGCAACTCCTCATCGCTAGAATGGGGCAATAGAACTTCTACCTAGAAAAAATAAAAATAATAATAATAAAAATAAGAAGTCAAGGAAAAAAATATGATAGAGAAAATTCAAATTAAAGAACGGTATAAACAAGTAAACGTATCTGAGATGTCTTATATGAGAGTATTTAGTCATACCTTATTGAAATTGTAAAGTATCTTGTCCAGAATATATTAGCTTATATAAAACCATACATGCAAATGCAGATTGTCAAGCGGTGAGTGTGAGAGTGGATCATTAAGTGGATCAAAACTATTTAAAAAATAATATTCAACTGCTGATGGCTTTGAAATTGAAATAATAAGTTGGATAAAAAATATCTCATAGTAAATCATAAGAGCATATAACGATGACGGTAAGCTAACAACAAAACTATCACAATATTCTAGCTCATTCTCAAAGTTCAAAACACTATCATTAGGTAATTAAATCAAATCAATTCATGTTCTATGACATGTAAAGTGAACTTGATAGAATAGTTAATTTGTGTAATGTCATATATTATCCAGTACACTTTATCATACGTCTTTAATGTATTTTCATATATTCTATTGACTTCATTAGTCACCATATAACTATATATGATCCAACCCATCTAAAACACTTTTTACATATGTAATACGCTTGAGTAGACTTAACTAAAATAAATAAATAAATAAATAAATAAATAAAAATAAAAATAAAAAATAAACTCTTAATCCTTAATCGTGTCTAATTACATTCGGTAATTAAAACAACATACAATTTTCTACAATTCCCCCAACTTCTGCAGTTTGTTAATGGAAATCGTCTTTTCTAGTTTTTGTAATTCCAAAGACATGTTAAATTTTTGTATGTTTTGCAAGTGAAAAATATACACAATGGGGTTAGTTATCTCAAATATAAAATTGATATAATTTCATTTTCAACAAAAAATGAACATACCGTACAATTCCTGATTTTGTTAAATTGAAATGTGCCTAACCTGTGTGGTGTCGCGATCTTTTTCTTTTTTGTGCTTGGGTCTGGAGCTACATCTTCAATGGCCTTTTTCCATTGTCCTTCACATGGGTGTTCACGTCAATACATTTGGAATTGGTGTGCAAGCCCGTTGTGATTGGTGCCTGAACCTTTTGATTTAGTCGATACATTACTCGAACGTAATGGTAGATTTGTGAGATAGTGATGGAATATATGATGCAAAAGATCTGAAGAAGACCAATTCTTCCTTTATGTTTTGGGAGTTTTTGGGTTGGTGATTCTAGAGAGAGGCTATTGGGGGATGATTCTAGAGAGAGACAAATTGGGTGGAGATTCGTTTGAAGATGGATAGTCACCATTTTTGGGAGGTGGTAATTAAGGGCATGTTTGTTGGGAGCTTAAGTCAAGGTCACATTTGATGGAGTAAATTTAGCTGCTTAAATAAGTTGACAGTTTGATTTGGCTAAGATTTCATGTTTGTATTTTACTATATAAAATACAGTATTTATAGAATAAAAAAAGTTAAGATGTATATATCAAATATTTACTAAAAACTAGGTGGATGGCATAATTTCCACTTTCATCATTGCCTAGTGGTTATTTGGGCATCACTTACTTAAATACCCAACAACAAATATGTTATACATTTATATTTTGAAAGTTGAGGAACTAAAGTGAAATACTTTAAGTTTATTTCATATTAGCCAAATAATTAGATTTTGATATAACGAGTTTTACCATGTTGGACTCTTTTTTAAGCTTGTAATTAATAAGAAGTCCTTGACTCGAGAAAAAGTTGTTTTGGATAAGATGAAATTAAGTTAATCTCAAAAATCTAATTTAATTAGGATAAACATCAAAACTAATTCTAAATCGATTAAGAATCAACAAATAAGCTAAAGTATATACATGCCATTAGATTAATTAAAATATCACACATACAACCTCAAGCAAATCTTTTAATTCGGCAGACGTAACCATCCCATTTGCTCTTTTTGAAATCAGAAACAAGATACCAATTAAATATCCAAAGTAGAGAAATTTAGGAGAAGTGGGAATGTCCAATCAAAATTTTCCTTCAGTAATTCTTTTGATCTATTAAGGTAAGATAATTTTGTACTAGGGGTTTATTTCTTTATACTTTTATGTATTCAATTAAATATACATGGATTGCCAGTGGACCTTCGAATTCTTTAGAAAGAAATATGAAATCTTTCGGGAATTTAAGAGGACCTAAAATACTTGTGTCGCTTAGTCATAGATATACTTTATAAGAGAAGAGTGATATGAAATGTATAATTTATTTGTTATATATAATTGTATATAAAAATTGCACATATCTTATTGAGTACTTTTAAATACTCACTCTTACAATAATTTTACTAGTTAGTTCAGATCGATTGGATTCGTAACAAGATAGTGATGCGACCTACCCAAATGGATTGAAGAAAAACAAAAAATATACATTAAGTTTTTTCTGCCTTTAAATTTATTAGTTAGCTTAATTTATTCAGCAACATGTCATTTAATTAATTAGTTAGTTGAATATGTTTATTTTTTTAAAGATACAATTTTCCATGTTTAGTTTAAATTTATGAATATTTTAATATTTTATTTTTAAAGAAATGTATTTTTATCATTCCGTATTCAAAACAAGTAAAAGTGAGTTTTTTATGACACTTCAAAGTTTATCAAAATTCGGGGCGTTACTCCCTGTTTGGCCTTCATTTTGTAAAACTTATTATCAATCACCAAGGAACCTCCAACTTTTATTAACCCACACATTTCATCAAAAAAAAATCTTATTTTTAGTTAAACAGGACGAAGGCTTAGATTTACAAACATTTTGAACCTGAACCGCTCGAGGATAGTTTTGTTTAAAAATAAAAAATTGGCTTGAGCAAAAGCCACCATAAGTTTATAACAAGGGAAAATTACTTAAAACCCTACATTTAAAGATTCATTTTCAAAAAAAACGGGGATTAAATTCCATTTTCACAAATCAAGTGTCCAACCTATCTCGTCTATCTCTCTTTCTCTACGCACCCACCCCAACCAACCATATTCAGCATCACTGATTGCGACGGAGCTTCTTGCCGGTTTGGAGGTGCTACTGGTGCTCGTAACACCAACGGCATCGTTCTTACATGCAATCGTGTCAGTCACGCCACTACTGCTACAGTCACGCCACTACTGCTACAAGCAGCACCTGGCAATGACACGGCATCAAAGCTTCTCGTCATCAGCAGCATCGCTGTTGCTACAAGTAGTAGCAAGCGCTACTCACAGCAGTGATATGGTGAAGCTTCTTGCTGCGTCGATGGCGTCGCTGATGTTACAAGAGGAGGAATGTTGGTGAGAATTTACGGGTTGGTGATGCTATTGTTAGATCTAGATGAGATGGTGGTGCGATGCCGAGCTATAGGGTGTTGATGGTGGTGGTGCAAGTATGCATGGCGATTGTGTGAATTTGTGGTGTGGTGTATGGGGTTGTGGCGGTGGTGTTAATTTATATTTGATGTGAATGTGGTGGCGATTATGGTGGCGAGTTGGTGGATTGGAGGAGGTGGTGGTGGGTTTTCGTGCAAGTGGTGGCTATGGTGGCGGTACCGGCATAGGCATCGTCAGATGTGGTGTTGCCCAAAAGACAGTCCGTAACTAATAGTGTTTGGCTTGATTTTTGGTGCGTTTGGTAATGTATTAAGCCTGAATTTTGGTCAAGATTCGTAGAGGAGGTTGAGATGGTCATGCTAATGGTGGAGTTCGACGGCTTGGGCGGTGTTTGGAGGCTTCAAAGGAGGCGGGCCACGACTTGTAGCTACAAGCAATGGATCTTTCATGTGGTTGCAGTGGTGCGATGATGCTGGTGGTGGTGGTCAAGATTTGTAGAAAGTATTGGTGGTGCGTATTTGGTTGACATTGTTGGGAGTGGTGGTAGTGGCGATAAAAATCAAGTATGACCAAATCTATCTTCATTGTGACTATATGTGACCAAATCTATATGTGATTTGGTTACATACAGTTACAAATTAGACTGATATGGTCAAAGACGGTCACACCGAAGACAAAGTTGATCATAATTAGCCACAGATAATATAGGTCAGTGCATGTAATAAAGTTGGAGATGAAGTAGTAGTGGATTGCGATACTGGTATGTGGTGTGTGAAGATTTGTTTGTGGTGATTCTTTATGGTCAAGTATGTGTTTAATGTGAAAGTTGTGACCAATTTTGTGTTAATTATGATTAATTGTGACTTTATTACATATCGTTACAGTTAAGACTAACTCACAGGCAGTCACACAAATTCGGTCAAATTAGTCACATTGAATACAAATTTGATCATAATTAGTTACGGCTAACACATGTCAGTGACTTCATTATACAATGACTTGAAAAAATTTTGGATCATTTTGGATGGGTGTAGTGGGGGCAGAGGTGGGGTAGGATGTGATGGTTCCGTGAGATATGATGTAATCTACAATTTTTAAATTTTGGAAATTTTTTGAGAAGTGGAGGTGGGATGAGGTTGGTGATTCCGTGATTGCCAGTTTTTAATTTTTGGACATTTTTTGAGACATAATGGTGGGGTGGGGTCTCCAAAAAGGATTTTCAGGTTTTGAAAATATTTAAGGGTAAGAATAATTAATTTCTACTAATTATATATTATAAATATATTATTAATTGGAATTAAAGCTAAATTTTGAAATAATTTCACAAGTTGAAATGCGATTTTTATACATAGAAATTATGTATCGTTACCTTATAACAAATTACAGTAACCCAAATTACAGAACCTAAACAAGGACCAGACTGGAAAACAAAAGTGGACCCCACGCTTGATCTATAATTCAACTTCCATACATGCAAACCAATAACAGCCTTGTAATTATTAGTGTTTGTCACTGCCACCATTTGATTTGGGCTTCTTCACTATTAAAACTGGACATTTCGCGTTCTGCGCACAGTGATTACTCACACTCCCAAGAAATGCCCTGCCATTTTCACAAAACAATATCATCTGTCACATAACCCACAAAATAAAATAAAATAAAACAATTTCTTTTTCAAACCATGTTTGTTTTTTTGCCTTTTATGCCGAAATCCCACTTGAAATTTGTAATAAGAAAAAAAAAGGGTAATTTCCAAAAAAAAGTTAAAATCTTATACCTCTTAATGAGACCATACCCATGACTTCCCATCACTAACATATCCACATTCAATTTCTCAGCCACTTCACAAATCATGTCCCTTGGATCTCCCAGCTCAACCGCTATCTCCACTTTAACCTACATGCACCGAACCACACAGAATTATTATTTTCTAAATGACTCTTTTACCCTTGAAGAAATCGTAAATTTACCAACTCACATCATTCAAGTGCTTGCAAGCCCTTTTCGCCTTGTCGATCACGCTCTGAGCCACATCATTGCTGTACTTCTCCATGCTTGCCATTACATCAGGAGAAAACAAATACCCTGAAATTAAACAAAATTACAATTCCACCCTTTCTATATCCATTTCAAAAAATGCCCATACTGCACAGATTTACCTTTTCCATCCATGGATGTGTAGACAGCTCGAGGTTTTTTGACGTAGCAGAGGATAAGGGTATCTTTGAAATTCTCGCTAATAACATTGTTGAGACACCATTTGAGTGCGTACATGCTTTCATCTCCTTCATCAACTGCTACTAAAATTTTTCGCCCTTTTTCTGCCATAGCTAAAAAGTAAAAACCCTCTCTTCAATTGGGAAAATTTATCTGAAAAGTTTAAATATTAATTGGATAATATCAAAAATCACATGACCCATATATATAGTGTGTGTTTTGAATCTTTTGATTGAACTCTGTTGGCGGTTGGTGGTTTTAGAGAAAGTGGCCTTAAAGTTGTTGGTATTCTAATTCCTGGATTGCATACTGCTTTGTTTGTTCCTCCTGCTAATCATGTTTATCTAGTTTAAAAATTAAATGGTGGGTAAATTGCACTTGAGGCACTGGATTTTTGTTGTACTCACAATTAGGTCATTGCACTTCAATTTGATGCATTTAGGTCACTTTACTTTGTTTACTAGTAATAAAGTTTCGACGATGCTCTCGCTAACATGTCCTGAGTTCTAACAACGTATTGCCAATATGTCAATCAATTTATAACTTCGGCTAATCGAAAATTATATTGGAGGTTACTGAATTTTCATCATGCTAATTACTTGATTGCTAAACTTCAATTTGGTGCAATTAGCTCGCTGTATGTTAATTTACGAGCAAGTGGGGCACCCCGTTTGGATATGTCAAAAAACCTACGGAAGTTAGATAATTTAAGAATAATTAATTCAGTGGTTGATTCGATTTATATAGAAGGCACCAAACATGAACAAAGAACATAAATACACTACATTGCATCTTCTTCTGGACGTTTTCCACAAAAACATCTAAAGGTAGGGATGTTTTGTGCTAATTACCCTAATTCTAACATTGTACTACTAAATTGACAATGCATTGTCGGTTAATACCATGAGAAAAATTCACGTCTACTATAAACCTATAACATGCAATTTACAAAAAGTTGGGAAAAAAGTAATGAATAAAAATATCAAATATCACAAAAAATTTGGCTACATGTATCGTTCGTTTTCTAAGTACTAATATTTATTCACAATAATACATTAGATATGATCATATGAAAGAAACTTCACGACTTTCCCACTTTTCCCACCTAATGAGTAACATGATTGCTCGTAAATTAAAGTATATTGGTCTAATGCAGTAGATCAAAGTTTAGAAACATCTAATGCAATTCTAGATGAATTGATGGGGAAAAATTGATTGTCGAGTTGTTAATTTCAACGTACTTGTTAGTATGTTCATTGACATAGTCCAAATATGTGACCTGATTGGTCATACTATTTAGTGCTTGTTTGGTAGAAATTTTATTAATTGATTTTTTTGATTATTAGAGGTAAAGTAGGTTCTATCTTTGAGTGGAGAATTCAAAAATGACAGCTAAAATAATGAAATAACGATAAAAAAAAAAGGATATTAATTAGATTAAAATCTCTACCAAACATGCTCTTGGTGTCTTACTTGCAACTATAGTGAAAGTTAAGTGGCCTCCAATACGATGCTCTCGCTAACATGTCCTGAGTTCTAACAACGTATTGCCAATATGTCAATCAATTTATAACTTCGGCTAATCGAAAATTATATTGGAGGTTACTGAATTTTCATCATGCTAATTACTTGATTGCTAAACTTCAATTTGGTGCAATTAGCTCGCTGTATGTTAATTTACGAGCAAGTGGGGCACCCCGTTTGGATATGTCAAAAAACCTACGGAAGTTAGATAATTTAAGAATAATTAATTCAGTGGTTGATTCGATTTATATAGAAGGCACCAAACATGAACAAAGAACATAAATACACTACATTGCATCTTCTTCTACAAATGAGGTATTTCAATTCATTTCTTTTCCTTCGCTAATTCTGTTTCCAATATATTAACCTTCTGTATTAATTCTAAGGGTAATTAGCACAAAACATCCCTACCTTTCGATGTTTTTGTGGATAACATCCCTACCTTTCATTTTTTGGTGGATTACACCCTTACCTTTACATTTTTTTGCGCAAAACGTCCTTCTATCAACTTTCCGTTAAAATGCTCCGTTAAATCAAAAAGGTAATTAGCAGAAAAGGTCCCTACCTTTCAAAATTATTGTGAAAAATGTCCCTACCTTTTATTTTTTAGCATAATTAGCAGAAAAGGTCCCTACCTTTCAATATTATTGTGCAAAACGTCCCTACCTTTCACCTTTCATTGCAAAAAGGTCATTTTCATCCATTTTTTCAATAAAATGACGATTTTACCCTCCTATTCAAATAAAACAAAAAGAAAAGATGAATTACCAACTGCAACCATAATCCTTAAATTTTTAAAAAATTACAAAAAATCATAAATTCTCAACCACCACCATTTTCACAACCTATCAAGCTGCCAACTATAAATCCACATAATACCACATTTCGACCACCATGCCCACTGGACTCCATCACCGTAAATGTGGTTGTTTCGGACAGATTGGTGACCAATACTATGGAGGAGGTTATTGGGGAGAGTGAGGCGACGCTGGTGGTGGTAGAGTCCTATGTGTTGTTATTATTATTATATTTTATGTTTGAATTTTTTTTAAAACAATTAAAGTAGATTTTGATTGGGTACGTAGTAAGAATGTTTATTTCCCTTTTCAGCTCGATAAGATCGTTGACAACTAAACATGTAATTTATGTATTTCCTAACATCCAATTTATAAGCATGCAAATGTGTCAGTTGTTTGAACTTGTCAACCTTAGAATGAGGAAATAAAAAAATCATTCATGCTACATGATCAAGTTTAATGACGGAAAATTATTTTCAGACAACACTTGGCAATCTTTCGTTCAAAAAAAATATATATATTCAATTATAAGCTACCAATTCACCCTTTTTTCCCCTATTTTTATTCCATGTTTCCTCTGCATTATTACGAGGGGAAAAAAAAACAACTTTCTTGAGATGTGGAACCTTGATAAGCCAACTTTGATGTTCGTGAAATCTCGTTTCGTCGCCATCACATCATAGTATATAATAAAACAGGTGAGTGTGGCTATTGGACCTCGCAATTACAATGATAACTATCTTGACTAACGCTCCACATCACCAATTCAGCTGTAAGGATCACAACGGCGGTTCTAATGGATGAGCCTCTTTGCCAAAAAGAAAGAAAGAAAAAGAAAAAGAAAAACATTCGTTAAGGTATAAATATATGAATGAAGTAAAAATAGAAAAGTAAAGAGACAGATTGATATGTCAAAAAATAATTTGATATTTTTACTGTGAAATCATTTGAATTTAAATTTGAACTCAAATATGTAGCATGACCATAAATATACATGTCCAATCCTACAAATCCCCAACCTATGGCGACATCAAGCACAGCTGGCGTCGAAACCTCTCTTTGACCTGTAATGTCTTGTCATAAATTGCGGGAGATATGTATAGAAATTTAAGATGTTGCACAGAATATAAACATCAAGAAAGTGGGTGATTTTTTAGCAATAAAATATTCATGTAGAGTCCACTGTATACATTCCGTAAACTTAAAATTTTGTACAATCAGAATTTTTGATGACAAAATCCAAAGGATATTACTATGTGTACATCTTATAGTGTACGTAATGACTTACACCTCTCTTACATGGAGGAGGCTCGTAAATATTTTATTGTATGTGGACGGGGTGTAATGCCACGTAGGCACCATTGTGCACACATTGTCCAAACCGAAAACGACAAGAGACGCCTGTGAATTCTTACGTTTTCAACATCACCTACACGACATTAACGAATCCTGTAAATATCTTCATTCTCTCTCCTCCCAACTATCCCAAGACTTTCACTGTGATCAAATTGTTCCTCTGTTCACATAATGGAGTCCCAAAGTAGAGCAGATGAAGAGGGCAGCAGTCCTTTGCTAAGCCCCGATAATGATATTGAAACTGAAGGTGGTGATGGCGATAGCCATGGCAGCTCTGCCACCATTGTTGTTGTACTCAGCACCCTTGTCGCGGTTTTAGGTTCCTATGTTTTTGGTTGTGCTGTAAGTTTCACAAACACTAATTTTGAGTGCCAATAAACTTTAAAGTAGTTCGTGACCAAGTTCTGGTAAATGTTAAATATGCAGATTGGATTTTCATCGCCAGCCCAGTCTGGAATTCTGGATGATCTCGGTCTATCCTTGGCGCAGGTAATTCATATACTTGCCTACATGATCTTAATGATGTTTGAACTTTTGACTTACTAGAAAAATTCGGAACCCTAGTTTTATTTTACGTTGGTTAGTGATGTCATCTTTAATTGGGATGGGATTTATCACTTAACATAGATTCTGGCTTACTTAGTCCAAATGCCCACTTGAACTTTAGTCTTTAGAATTGCTGGTTCGAGCATAAAAGGTCAAACTTGATTACTGATTTCATTCATAATCACTATGTAACTTATTTCTTAACAATCTTCTTATACTGACAGACATACGTGGGTTATGAAATAGCTAAAATTAATCTACATTAATCATTGATGGAAAAGATTTCTAATTCTTTTGTACTATGAAACAAACAGATCAAATTGGTATTCATTAATAGGTCAGTTTCTTGTCAGAGGATCTCTTTGGAGAAAATCAGAAGAAAAATATAGTGAAGAGCTATTAAAGAAATTAGAGTAGATGGCTAGTGCTGCACAAAATTCAAATGATTGACACTGCTGTGGTGTCTTCCTTATTACATTCTACACGACAGTCGCTACTATAAGAGAGGGCTTGTGTACTCTTATGTTTTTTGGGGGTGCGTTACAAATAGATAGAAATGAGTAATGAATAAGGGTGATACTTGTGGGATCCCCAAAGAGTGCAGATAAAAAGTGGCTCGAGTATTTATAAACAGTTTATACACATAAGTCATACATAGGCAAAGTAATTGAGAAAGAAACATGAAGAGGAATATAGAATTTGTGTAACTATTCTGTTTCTGAATTTGTAGAGAGAGACCTTATTCATAGGGTTCCAAATAACAAAAATAAGAAATTCAAAACTACCTACCGGAATCTTCCTTATGAGTACGTACCATTATCTTCTGAAGGATACCTACCATAATTTGTCTTGGGACTTACAACAATATGTTCTATACAAAGAAAAGGAAACTAGATTTAAATCTCCTAAATAGGGAAACAAATAAAAAACCATGCTGCCTGTCTATTATTGGACTGAACAAGAAGCAAAAATGTTCTACTCTGAGTAACAGTCACAACTTAGAAGTGGCCAACTAAGTAAGTTACTTTTGTTAGTTGGTGTTGAATAATGGATCAACAATGAATTCTTAAGTTAAAGCTATCAAGTGAGCTGCGAGCAATACAGTGAGGAAAACATTGTTATGTATGTGACTGAAGCATAGGTTACATAGTTGAATTTCTAATTCCTATGTTATTGTCTCTTCCCTTGGATTGTAGTATTCATTGTTTGGCTCAATAATGACGATTGGAGCAATGCTTGGTGCATTAATGAGCGGAAAGATAGCAGATTTCTTTGGGCGGAAAATAGTAAGTTTGTACTTGTTTCTAGATTCTTTAGAATATTACAGGATTTTAATGATAGAATGTTTTCATTTCTGGTTATGCTAACTGGTCGTATATTCAGACGATGGGTTTCGCAGAATTGTTTACTATTGCAGGTTGGCTTGCAATTGTCTTTTCAAAGGTACTCTCTTCTTTTGTTTGCATATGCTTTATCCTTGATGAGTTGACGAAGCTGAAGTCCGGATCTGTAAGTAGCATAACATACAATGACTAGAATCCTGTCATTCAATGGTGCATACAATGTCTTTAAATTATAAAATGCGATAGTTCAAGCTATTGATAAATTTAGAAATGGTAACGCCTACATTCATGTAAAAAAATGATTTCATAGTTTTTTGTTTAATTGCTTCTCGTCAAAAGATGTTGCTTACTGAATCGCCCTAATGTCATATTACGGAATGCCCTAGTGATTCCGATTTGGTGGGTGTTCAGCACTTGTTTTGCTTGTTCATGGAGAAGAAAATGGGATTGTATAGAGTAATAGGATCCAGGAGAGTATATACTTGTGTCACTGAGGGTTTGAGGATGGCATCTTCTCTCATAACTACTTCATATTGCCATGAAGTTTGACCGAATTTTTCTTCCAGGCTAGCAAAATTTTTCAAAGACATTTTCTAAGTTAATTTCACTTGTAGCAGTGTGAATCAGATTGTCTGTTGTGCATTACATAGTTCGACAGTCTCTTGCTTATGTGAACCACCGTACTAATTCTTTCACCCGTTTTTTAGTACAATTGCATCAGTTTGTTTATTTATATTTAGTTATCCACATGCATGCTGATGTATGGATGCAGAGTCACAAATTTTTTCAGATTCCTCTCATTTCGCTGGTTGCTTAATGGTTGTCAACAGAGTGCTTGGACGCTTGACACTGGAAGGCTGTTAAAGGGATTTGGAATTGGACTTCTTTCATACATGGTGCATACAATGTCTTCTGCCCTCCTAATTTTCTTACTTATTAGACGATTCATTATATTCTAGATTTTTAATTCAATAGGTACCGGTATATATAGCGGAAATAACACCTAAGAATCTTCGAGGAGCATTTACAGCAGTTAACCAGGTAAAAATAAAGAATTTTATTAAGTTAAGAAAATTCATTTTGGATTTATAGATTCTAAGACCATAGCATTTGATGCTTTAGTTGATGATTTGTTGTGGCTCCTCTGTAATGTTTCTTGTTGGAAATGTCTTCACCTGGCGTACCTTGGCTTGGATAGGTAATTTTGTTTCTATTTGTACTATATTTATTAATGCATGCATAAATCAGTTAGAACAATAAGTGATTGTGTTCGATGCAATTCAGGAGCTATTCCCTGTCTACTACAGCTTGTCGGTTTATTCTTCATTCCAGAGTCTCCTAGATGGTTGGTAAGTTAAGAAAGAAATTGTTAAAGATGATTAAGACAGCAGGTTTCTAGATTATTTTCATTAAAGCTGTTTCAGTTTCTATTATAAGATGAACACAATTAATTTGGCTTATTATTGGAGAAGTAATCTTAACAAAATAATCTGTAATATGCTCAATAGTACTCTATATTCCACAGGCTAAGATGGGTCAGTGGGAATATAGCAAAGCGGCTTTGCAGCGCCTTAGAGGGGATAATGCTGATATTTCTGAAGAAGCGGCTGAAATAAGAGTAATTCTTTGACTTAAATTTCAGTTCTAGCTTGTACCGAAGTATCTCATTTTATTCTTCTTACCACGAGTATTGTTAATTTACAGGAATATACACAATCTCTTGGACAACTCTCAGACTCTAGAATGATAGACTTGTTCCAAAGGAAATATGCTCGCTCCCTTACAGTAAGGTTTCTATATAGGTTCTAGCTTGGGAAGCATTTTCAAATTTATGACTCAATAATAGCATATAATAAATTTAAAATTTATTCAGGTTGGTGTTGGGCTGATGGTGCTGCAACAATTTGGAGGAGTCAATTCAATAGCGTATTATGCAAGTTTTATATTTTCATCAGCTGGTAAGCTAGTTCTTACTCCTAATGATTCCAATTGAAAAAAGAAACATGTATACTAACAATGGGTTTGTAACAGGTTTTTCAAGTAGGGCCGGAACAACAGCTATGGTTTTCATTCAGGTTATTTGGTTATTGATCGATTGATAGATTCTGCTGGTCACATTTCTAAAACTGTTGCTTTCTGCAGGTTCCAATGACGCTTCTGGGAGTCCTCTTAATGGATAAATCTGGAAGACGTCTTCTACTAATGGTAAATATTATGCTTCGTCGTTAAGTTTGTGTAGTCCTACATTACTCAGCTTGGGTATTCTGCTACTGCAGGTTTCCGCAGCAGGAACCTGTTTGGGTTGCTTTCTCATTGGACTGTCATTTTTATTACAGGTTCTGCTTACGTAAATCTGGTTATATCTTAAAATCTATGCATATTTCTGAATTAGTATGCCTAGTGCAGGACCTTCAACTTTGGAAATCAAGTCCCTTGCTAGCACTCGGCGGTGTACTGGTAATGCATCTTTTTTGTCTTGCAAAATGGATATGCACGAAGAGTAATGATGGCAAATCATCAGAAGGATAGACTGCTTGCCTTGGTCATGTATTTTTTTCTTTTATCTTCACCGGAAAAAAATAAAAATAAAAAAAATTCCCATTTTATTAGACAATGTGGAGCCTAATCATAATCATTCTGTACATTCGTTTCCCATATTTTTTCTTGGGGCTATACCAGATACTCCAATAGGGTCGCCCAATTATTCCCTTTGTATATAGAATTTTAAGGTGCTGGTTGTTTAGAGTGTGAGAGGCGGGAGATCACCTTGTACCCTTCTTCGTCATGACAAAAACTTAACAGTAACAATGTGGTAGTGTAGCTCTCACATCAATGGTGTACCACTATGTATGTGTACTTCGTTTCTTTTGTATTATAATTACTTTCTTTAGTAGGGATTAGGGCTTAAACTGTAAAACATTTCACCAACACCAAACCTCCCTCACCCACACAACAAAACATAAAAAAAGAAGTATTAGTCTTGGAGATTAATCTATTCTTTACTTTCCATCAGGTCTTTACAGGATTTTTCTCATTAGGCATGGGAGGAATTCCTTGGGTTATAATGTCAGAGGTGTGAACTTCATCTCATCTCAGAAACTGAATATTCTAAACTGATTATCATAAGTACACTTTGCATTTAAAAATGTTGCTATTGTTTCAGATATTTCCTATAAACGTGAAAGGTGTAGCTGGAAGCCTTGTGACAGTGGTCAACTGGTTTGGTACTTGGATTATTTCATATTCATTTAACTTTCTAATGCAGTGGAGCTCTGAAGGTGATATATCTCATCCTGTATTACTTTTCCATTACTTAACATGGGATTCCTTTAAATCTCAGGAAAGTTCGGGATGAATTAAGTTGACTCTCTTTTTATGTTATTTCAGGCACCTTTTTCATCTTTTCAGCTGTAGGTGGTTTTACAATCCTATTCGTTGTAAAGCTGGTGCCGGAAACCAAGGGACGTACGTTGGAAGAAATACAAATGAGGACAGAAAAATAATGTTATATTTATACTCGTTAGCTTTAAGTGAATACAGCTTGATATGTATTTGGTTAGTAGCATCTTAGTATAGTTGAAAAATATTAAATTAGATGGGAATTTTCGTCGTGTCTCTCTCGTAGAATTTAACTCCTTACAGTTCGAAGATCTGGCGTGAGTGTATCATCTTCGTCGTGATCTTTGGGGCAACTTCAATGATATGTTCCAAGTCCATGCTTAAATCTTAAATTTTTACATGCATCAATTGCATTGAATATAATTCTAAAATGCATTTATATTTTCCTTGTACATCAGTTTTATGTTCGTGACCATTTAACTCGTGTGATCTATTGAAAACCATTTTTCTCTTTGACAATATATGTAGTCTTTATAGCGTGTTTGGTAAAGCATATTGACAGCTAGAATTTTCTATTATACTGTCTAGTTTTGTCTAATATTGCGTGTTAAACATGTCATAATTAACGTCGTGCTACATTCGTTAGTGGTTTGTATTATGAATGTTGGGATTTGAGGTGATGCTCTTAATCCATTTAATGTGATCTATGAGACAAGATAGTGTAACATGACATTCGAGCAGAAACGAATCATTTGACTTGGCGAGTACACTATCCAATTTAGGTTTCTATCATGATCATATACTACATTACTAGAATTCATTTGTTTAAGCTTTACCTCATGTTCAGATCGTCTTTGTGACTAGATGATTGACCAAAAACTTGCTCTTTTCGTGCGAGCCTCGTATTCTTGCCCAAATTTTGAAATGAAAGAGACTTGAAACCAATGCTACACTCCTAAATTTATACTCTCATCTGCATTCATTTCAATTAGAAGGGTTAATGCAATTTTGGATTAGTAGTTAATGACTAATAAAGAAATGTGTCAGTCTAAGAAAAGTACAAATAAGATGATTTCCTCCCAAATCAAGTAGTGTGAGAGAGTAGATGCAAGGGTCCGAAAAGAGGAGAAAATCGGGACTACTCAAAATGAAATCAGACGATGATACACTTGCTACTCTCAGATTTCCTCACAAATCTAGTAGCGTGAAAGCAGGGATTTTGAGCACCGAGGCTGCTAAAGACGCCGGAGAAAAAAAAAAAAAAAAAAAAAAAAAAAATCAGGATGAAAGCAAAGGAATTAATTACCTCGAAAGTATGTTCAAAAGGAATTTCGACGGACAAGGTAACACAGCTTATCAAGGAACAAATTTAGACAATTGTGTACATATTGCAGCTAAGAAATATTCAGGCTCTCTTATCTCCGTGCAAAATGCATCCTCTTATAATCCACAGAATTTCAGAGAAAGAAGAGTACCATTTAGACACAGTTTCACCAATAAAGAACTGCATTTCTCCATAGATCTTCTATAACATTACAGATCAGATATGCAGAAGAAACAAAGCATATCAATGTCAGGAAGAAATGAACGCCATTCAGCAATATCTAACTACTTTTTCAAGGGCTTCCATGCTCCTGTAGAGATTATATCCATCTAAATGATCGAAAAAAATAACGAGGGCTTCAGTAAATTAGTGGTTTCATCAAGCTGTCCTTGAAGGAATTTTCAGAGTAAATCATTTTTTGGATGTTCTGAAACCACCAAATCCCATCATAGCTGCAACATCAGGATCCATCTCAGGTTCCTCCTCGGCAGCCCTCTCTTTCTGAGTGACAAAAATGGACAACAATCACCACTAGTAATCATAATTGAAGAAAACACTAAAGAAACAAAGAACCTGAGCAGAGAAAGTAAACTAGCAGGGACAACAACAAATTATACTCTAGATGAATTGACAGGCAAACTTCAGCATTTTCCTCGTGATATGCATTTTTATGACCCTGAATAACATTCTAATATATTAGCTCCCTGTTGTACTAACCTTCTTCTCTTTCTTTTTCTCTCGACGTTGGCGTTTTCTTTCCTCCTCTTCTTGCTGTTGTTTCAAGATCCTCTCGTCAAAATCTAAAATAGAAGTGAAAAAGAGCATAAACAGATTCTCTGATTAGTCCAGAAATAGGCCTCGTAAAAAACATCTACCAGATCCAGATGGAGTGGTTAGACATTATAAAACATTAGAACAGTCAAAAAGCAGAGTGAGGATCCTTGCAATCATCATTATATAATCACAGAGAAAATACTATTATCTCACTTGTATACAAGACAAAGCCCCTGTTTGATGGCCATTATTTGGGAAAAACAATGTTTTGAATAGTGATTTTGGGAGATTGTGTAGTTAATAAATAGGGAAAAGTTTTGGGTTTCCACGCAGAATATTTTAATTTGTGTGAATGTGTGGTCGAAAAATGAGTACGTAGGAAAAGAGTTCAAATAATAGCCATCAAAAAGGCGCTAAATTGGAAATAATGAAATTTTTTGAAGAATGATTTTTTTTTTTTTTTTTAATTTTCCAGAGCTGTGCACTTCTCAAGTGTCGCTCATCCCCAAGTACACCTAACGTTGAGTTTTCCTAAATGGTAGGCTTTTCCACTATTCTCTGGAAATTCTGGAAAATTTGACTTTCTTCATCCAAACAAGCCCCTTTCAAGCTGAGTTTTTTTATTTCTTTCCATATTCAGATGATCTAGCCCTTGTTTGAGCCCCATTTTTCCACCAAAATACATTCTTCAATAGTGATTTGACACCATTTCAACCACACATTCTTCAATAAAATAATATTATACGCAAATCAAAAACTTTTTCTTATTTTTTAATCACACATTTCCCATCAATACACTATTCAAAAATTCATTTTCTCCTCTAAAATGGGGCTCAAACAGGGGCCTATTCTAGTTTCCTTTCCTTCATATATGACATTATGATAATTCTTTACAGGAAAATAATGGAAGGTAGTTTTGACTTCCTTCTTTTGGAGTTTGGTTTTATGTAAGCCAATGAATATCCTTATTTTGTAAATAAAAGGAGAGAAAGATAATACAAATTTTCTAGGAGTCCACGTATTTCTAGTCCATGGGTTGAACTACTTTCTTGTTCTTTGTACAGGATATATTATGATAATTTTATAGGAGAAATTACGGTAGGTTAATTCAAAACTTTCTTCTTTTTGGTTATTTAATAAATCGAGTATTTCTCTTTGTAATTAGAAAGAGAGAATAATTATACAAATGTTTTTATTCTTCTCCGTATCTTTCTCAATTACTTTTACTATTTAATGTTTATTCTCAAACCAGAAAATAATGGCCCTGAAAAAATATATATAATGGAGACTAAAGAGGCAAAATGCGGCATTTACTGTACTCTTATCCTAATGCAGGTGTAATATGGATCAAATCAAATGAATGAGAGCCTCCTTTTGGGATGAAGGGAGTAATAATTCACCTCACTTTCAAAGTCTTACCTTGTTCGGTGAAGCCTCCAGTATCTTTCCGCTTCTTGAGATTTTCAAACCGCTGCTGAACCTGCACAAGGGAAATAACTGTTTCACATAAACCCAATAAAAGAGGTCTGAGACGGAAAGACTTTCTATTCGGAACATTTTGGAACTGCATTTATTATGCATAATAAAGATAATGTGCAACTTTCCAATCCATACAAGCATAGAAGCAGCATATCAATATCTCCAAGCCAGATGCATTAAATCTCCATGCTAAGACACTCTAGGTTTGACACTCCTTCAACCATATCCAGTATGAAAACTTTAACTAAGCACGGAGGTTAGAGAACTCTCTTTGGTTTTCTTTTGTATGGCTCAATATCGAGAAGTGGCCACCCTTTCTCAATTTGGCTGTTGGACGGACTATGTCATGAATGATTTAAATTGTCTTATAACAAAATTTGACTATGATTGAACTAATAGTTGAGATTGCACTACAAAAATCACTTGATTAAACGTATTACTCTGGAAATTCGATTTCAAACCTCAACAAAACTTTACCGCCACCTATGTATTTTTGTCTACATTTGTTAATACCTGCATAAGAATAGCAAAAAGAAATGTCCGTGCACTCTCCTGTAATGCATATTTTTGTCCATATTTTGTTTATACCACAATAACAATAGCAAAAAGAACTTATCCATATATAGTATATAACACAAAAATTATATGAAACAGTGCGCACGCTTAAATTATTGTATGTTCTCATAGTATGTCACATCCTAATTTTATGTCATTTGTCATTTTTCCCTATTACTGTCATGTCATACCTAAGTATAGAGTCTGTAATCGTGCTTCCGTAGGGAAATTTTACAGCCACATAACATTGCTTGAATTCATTGAACAAGCAACTTTTTCTCCATGGAAATGTTATCTTAAATTCAAGTAGCTCAGCGCAAAAACCCAAGATACAAAAACATATTTTTCCACTTAAAGATAAGTCCCGTCAAATGGTTTCAGCCACACAAACAAAATTACCCCACTGTGTCTCACAAGAATTGAACAACAATAGCCCAATCAGTGTATACGCAAAGACTAGTTTATAATGCTTAAATGAATATTCTATGCTAGATTATCCCAAAATGAGAAATTCATGTTATTTATTTCGATCTATAAAATGTAGAAAAGAAACGAGACAGGTTTTTTAGACTCGATCGCTCTACCCTCTTCCCTGAAAGGATGGCGTCACTGGTATTCAGTTGTCCTTGATTTAATTTACATTTTTAGTAAAAAGAGCTTGAGTAAATTTACAAGAAGCAAATAGAGAATGATCAGTTGCTGACAGGCACTGGTAGTTTCCAGCAATCGACAGAAAATAACACATTGATGGAGGATTTGTAAGAAATAGCTGGATTGTTACCATAATCCTTCATCTACTTTGCTTTTTCTTTATGTTTGGGTGGGCATAAAGAAAGATGTTTCTGTCAGTGGTAACATATAGGTGCCAATACACAATAGAAATGCTTCAGTTCTTCACCAATCACTTGATCAATTTAACATACAATCTTTGATTCATTTCACATTTAAAAGCATAGCATTTCTATCAATTGCCAGAGATGTCAAGCTTTGATATTTAGCAGTCAAACAGATATACTTTTACAGGCTTACCTGCTCCAAAGTTGCCCTTTCAGACCGCATAGACATGCCCAAAGCTCGTTGATCTGAGAGGGGGAAAAAAATAAAAATAAATAAAAATCTGTTGAATAGATGACATCAAATAAACTACATGTAACAAATAAACAATGTTAAATATCCACAGATGACATACGCTTCTTTCCATTTATATGGTCTAAGTAGTTTGCAGAATCTTTTACTACACATTCACATACTGAGCAGAAGTATCCAGCCTGCAGTAAAAATGATTGAGATCTGGTCAGCTACAGCAATGAAGTTATAGAACTTCACAGAAAACGGATATTCTAACTCAATATAACTGTTCTGCACTTTATTCAGAAGATACGATTGACAATTTCAAAGCAATAATTGTCACTCCATTTTAAGATGGTCTAGTTCAAAAATCTGTACAATATGGGGATTGCAATAGGACAAAAATGTATGCTTTTCAATTATTAATGGGTTGATAAGGGTTTCTATCTTAATCAATGCACCTTCTATTTTACAGATAAAGATGGATAAGAGCTTCAGATATTTATAGATACTAGATGAGAGAACTGAAAAGGTAAATGGAGTTATTTTATTAGACTGTTCACATCTGTGAGTCTTCATCGGAAGCCCGATTCCTGTGTTGGGGGAGGATTGCTCTCTAAATCATGCATTTGCGAGTAGGATTCAAGATAAAGTAAATTGACGATCAACTGGTCAGATCTCAAACTTAACCAAGTCACAATCATTGACCAAGTCAAAAGTGAATATTACTCTTCACTGCCTCTTCCTCAAACGAATACTCCCTATGAAGCATGGAGACTCCTTGGAGTTCAACACTTATGGGACAATGACACTCTTCAAACTGACAAGCACAATAATTTAAAAAGGGCATGCCAACTTAAGTGTCCAACATGTGTTGGAGATTGTCCGACACGTGTTAAGTCCAATACATGTTAGACAGTTGGATCCATATGGAAGATCCTCTTTTGGCTACACAGGTTTCAAATTTTAGTTACGGACATGAGTCAAAGTTTCTCAAACCTGGCTAGAGCATTCTTCGGGCAATTAAATATGTGACTAAAATTTTCAAGCTGTATAGTGAAAGGAAATAAATATTCAAAAGTACTATCATCTCTAAAATCTTTACAGGCAATATATAATTGATGGGTTCTTTAAGACACCTGGGAATGTTAAAGAAGTATTTATCTCACTTGGTCTGCATAAGCTAAGCTCCAAATGAAAGGCATAATTGCTTGTTGACTTATAATCTCCCAAATAATAAAAACTACCCTATTAATGATATTTATTGATTTATTTTTATAAGACCTTATTAATGATATTGATATTGTTATATTGTTACTCATAAGTGTAGATATAGTATGCGGTCAAAGTAAAAGATAAAAGAAGCATATTTTTAAGTCACATGGATGCTTTTTTCTTTCATTAATTGGCAGGGAGAATCAGATAAGAAAAAGACAGCGGAAAACACTACAGCCAAGAAAAACTGAATTCTTCCTATCCGACTAATACTTGCAAACAAAATAATCAATGTATGTATGAGTAGGGATGGAATACAGGATCTAAAAATCCATAAAGAACACCAATGTGCTCTTCATTCTCCAGACGGAATTCTGACTGAATACTGAGTGACTTCGTATACAATTAAAAACTAAACACTTTCTGAACTCAATGAGCACTTATTAGATGATCCTAATCTAGATTATTAATATTATTATTATTATTATTATGTCCAAATTTAGACAAAAGTCAATGTGAACCTAATACCTAACTTTTATAGCCAACAATAATATGAAGATTATGAGGATATAAGAGAAATACAGTTAGGATATACCTGCTGACTTAGAGGTGCAATTGGAGTAACAACCTGCAAAAAGGATAAAGAAACATGCATAAGTATATGCCAAAAGAAGATGGAATCTATGCAACAAAAAAATAGCCTACGTCCTTATCTATTTCTGCTAAAGATGGACAAAAAATAATTTAAGAACAATCTAGTATGGTAAGTAATGGTAATAAATAACCAACAACTAAAGCAACATCCGAATTTCACAAGTAGCAACGAAAAGATTTCTGAAAAAGAAGCCAAAATTTTAAAGCCAGTCATATATGATTGGTGTCGGTGAGACCTAGGGCATGCAAATATGCCTTGTAAGACAAATAAACAGGACCAATCCTTAAACGCTTCACTGACAAATAGAAAATTTTACCAAATCAAAGGCACATTTAATTAAATCCTGATGCAGTGGAGTGTATGGCACTTGCATACATGGAGGAACTCAACCACCCAACGCTGGTGGCAGACCACGTAAGACAGGCCACGGATATCGGGCTCGGCTGGTTTTTCTGCCGCTTAGTCTAAGTTACTTGGTCTTATTATTTCAGTAAGGGTGTTTTAGTATTTTAATAGCATAGGGTTTATTTTCAAGTTTTAGGGTATTTAATCATTGTCGTTTTCTTGGAGGTTAATTGAATAAATAAAACTCAAAGATGTGTTCTTCAAACTTTCAATCTCAATCAGTATTGGTGGAATCAACAAATTGTTGACCACATGTTCATCTAGTTCGCTTCACTACCTGCATTGAATCCTTGTTGAAATGGCTCTCATGCTGACTCTTAAGTGCCTTTAACATGTGGTTTTACTAGTAAAATATTTTGGACACAACATCAATAGATGCAAATACTAGAGGAACCAACGAAGTAACAATATCTAAAAAAAAAATAGAAACAACCAAAATTCTTCTTCCCTATTATGATGCAGTCCTAATAATTCACCTAACATTTACTATTACTTTCACATCAATTTGGATGCATCAACACTGAATCCATCGAGACATGAATTTCAAGAACCATAATTAGACATTTTGACTACAAAACTACAAGATACACTGTCTCAATTGGCAATAGAGTGAAACCATTGATTGATCTTCTCTGTTTCCCTTCTAATCCCCCTCCACAAACAAAAAAAGAAACAGAATTAATAAAGAAAGGCAAAAATTCTTATTCTAGGCATGCCGCTTCTCTGCAAGGGAGTAAGACTGCACATCAGAAAATTGAACCTATTGCCAAAAAGCTCCTAATTAAATATTTAACTTTATGTTTAAAGAGAATCATGTTCATAATAGAGAGCATTTGTACATATATTCCAAGAAACTCTTTATTTATTTTTTCCAACAATCATTTATTTTTTTTCCTCATTTTTCATTTAGTATAATTTATTTAGAAGTCAATAGCTATAATATTTACTATCTCCGTCCCATAAAAATAGGCTTATTTCTATTTTGACATTGATTAAAAAATGTATTAATATAGTTGGTAATATATTTTTTCTTACTTTTTTCCTAATCCCTACATTATATAATGGTTTAAATAGGTGTATTTCATATTTGTTGACAACAAAGCACATTAAATATGGGTATATTAGAAAACTAAGAAATTAATTCCACTCCCAACGGGGAAAGTAGCCTATAATTTGGGCAAACGAAAAAAGAAAGCAAGCCTGTCTTTATCTTCATGAAATGGAGACAGTATTGTAATATGATTAATTTAAGTAGTGGAGCATTGAAACTTACAATGTTGTTTGAGCAATCATGATAAAATACAACTTGCAATTTTATTGAATACAATCATGATAAAATACAAATACAGAGTGAGTTTGGCTCCAAATATAAACAATCAAACGCACTCTATTTTAGAATGTTAAAATAATGAGTTTCTTGAAGCCTAATTTCAAGGTTTAACTTTTAAAATAAAGAGCATCTCACTTTTAAATAGTCTCTTGGAGATGCTCTTAAAAGTAAATGTTTCAAATAAATATATTAAAGTGCACATTAAATAGGAAATAGAATATCAAAACAGGTTTCAAATCCTCCTCATCTAAAAGCCCAAAAAAAAAATAATAATAAAAATAAAAATAAAAATCTAAGGTTCCATGTCTTTCATTGTTTTGCGTTGGAGAAAGTGAGCAACATTTTAGGCTTCTATACATCTAACAGAAATTCACTGAAACAGTGGCAATATGAAAAGTGAAGCATCTTGTATTTGAAAAGTAAGGTAGCTAACCTGAGTCTTTCCCAATCGAGATTCAAGGTCCACTTCATAATCCCTGTGCTTCAAAGGTTTCCTTTGCACCGGCGGACCCCTTGCTGTACAATAACTTATAATTTAATTTATTAATCAAAGCTGAAGACCAGAATTCAATGGTCCATACGCTGTACACTAATTCAATTAAATTTTCAATTACTCTAATATATAACTGCATACATATATCCAACAAAATAATCAACCCAAACGACTCACATTTTGATTTCGACCGGGCCTCCTCCTGCAGTATAGAAGAATAAAAACCTTAATCTAGCAGGGCAGAACAAAAATTCAAAAAAAAAATGTTCACATAAAAAGTGAAATTTCGGTGATGGCTAGAAAACCTTTTCTTCCCGCTCGCGGGCGCGTTGTAAATACTCTTCTCTATCGAATTTCCTTCGAAAAGTGTTGTCTACTCCTGTAGGCTGCTAACAGAACAGCCAAAACTACGTTTGAGATTCTTAAAATAGAGACTAACAATATATATGTTCGCGTGGTATTATATTCACAGTCGATAAGTGTCGATAAAAGACTGAAAGAGTTGAACTTACGGTTTTGCTGGATTCAGCCATTTGGTAATTCTACTTTTCTGTATCAGAAGATAGAATTTGATTCGATTTGAAAGTGAGGTGAATTAAGAATTAGCAAAACAATTGAATTGAGAAGAGAATGGAGACGGATTTGGGGGAAATGCGATATAATAAATTAATAATGCCCTAGTTTCTTGACCTGACTTCACAAAGGCGATGGGAATTTAACAGTAATTATATTGAGGTTATTGTGCATAACATTTTAAAGGTACTCATATTTATCATAAGTAATTACATCTTTGAACTCCAGCTTCAGATTAGTAACATAATAAATTTAATGTGCCGAGGCTCCAATGAAATATTTACTTATGGTTGGGACAAGGTATTCTATTATGGTTCATGATTTCTCTTGATTATATGGTTCGTCTGGAGAAGAGATTCAGATTTGAAAATTGGTGAATAGTCTTATCAATATACAAATATATGAGCGCTTCTACATCTAGTATTGGGGTATGCCTCGTAAAATAATTTCCCTAACTCTACCATATCTTTTGTTTCATTTCTTACGAATTTGTGGAGACTTGTGTTTTTTGTAAACAGTCGCTCGAGGCTGATCACTGCGACCCCTTTGCGATGAGACATCATTTCTCTCAGAGTTACGATGCTATTTTGTCAAATTCCTCAGAGAGTTGTCTCATGTCCCTGTGAAAAAACCAAAGCTCTGTCCTTTCTCTCTATCCATCCAAGTGATAAAGGGCAGATGCTTTTGGTGTCCTCTCAGGTCAAAGATTCGAGGTCTCACAATCAGTAACCAATTGATTTTTTATGTAGATAATGATATCTATACAGATAAATCTTTTATATATCGTACAATGAAGTATTACATAGGTTAATATCTATATGAATCCAAATCTGTTGTATACACTTAAAATTATTTAATTTCGAGCTGGAGTTCAAAGATATAATTAGTTTGATAAATACGAGGACCTTTAATGAAACTAAAATGCTACGCACAATAAACTCAATATAATTACCGTAAAAGTCCTCTGGCCTTTGTGAAGTCAGGTCAAGAAACTAGGGCATTATTAATTTATAACACTTGATTTTTATTTTTATTTTTTTCCTATAGAATGGATAATTGGAAATTAGGAGTTGTCATGGTATAATTAAAAAATTAAGTTTGATGAAAAGATTATGTTTCGCGCGGGTTAGTCGCTAACAATTAAAAGGGATCAAACGATTGTGTAAGGGACAAAGCTCTTGAGATAAAGTTCCAAAAAAGGGGTGTTCTTTTATTGGCGATGACTTTACAATTGGAAATTAAAAACAAAGTGCCTCCAAGGGGCGCAAGCACACGAGTTACTGAAAAAAGTGTTTAAGTCTAAGCTAAGTAAATTAAAATTACATGTTCTCTGCTCGAGAGTTTTTTATTCGGTCCTTTGCTCTATGTCTTTTCTCCCTTTTATACTTCATGGACGATCTCTTTGTGATCAACCGCCTAAAAATTGCTTGATCGTCCTATAACTGCCCACTTTCCTCGTAATGGTCAACTTGTCATGAAAACTGCCTTTTTTAACTACTGTCATTACTCTTCGTCGTTCAACCGCTTTCGATTGAATTCCTTGAATCGTGGAACGTGATAGGGCTGCTTTAATAACTGCTTTGATAACTGCACTTCTTGATAACCACAACGCTTTATGTTTGTTAAGACTTTGGGCGACTTGAAGGTTTGCGCGAGAATAGAGTAACAACTCTGGGCGATTGTATGGCACTCCATTCGCTCAGATTTTGGGTGACTTGCAAACTTGGGCGATGGCGTTACCGCATTCTTGGGCCTCCCTACTTGGGCCTTCATCTTGATTTGTTTGATTGGGCTTCGTTCTTTGGACTATCTGATTTGGGAATCCTCCAATTGGGCTTCACTCCTTGGGCCGTTCGATTTGGGCTGAATTTTTATGTGTCAACAGATTAAAACAAAGGAGGAGTAAATTTATTATAGTATTATTAAGAAAAAAATGATGTTTTGAATATTGATTTTGTTGAAGAATATGTAATTAAAAATTAGATAAAAGTACAGAATTTATGTGTAAATTATTTTATTGTATGAATGTATAATTCAAAATTAATATAAGAATAAAGAGTTTTGTTTTAAAGTAAAGCGAATGAGAGGCTTATTCTTTTGTAACTTAAAAGAGAGTAATTTATTATTCATTTTAGTTCATAGAGGTTTAGAATTCGAATCAATTGCAACTTAGAAATTTTCAAGAAGGCATACATGATATCTTTGGTTTCTATTGTGAAGAATATTTACATTCATATTTTATATCGAAAAGTTTCATACAAGAGAAGACACGTGCGAATATTATTCTCAGAAGTTTCACATTATAAATTTTACTAATTGCACCTAATATTCTAAACACTTTCTCATTGAAGTATTTATGTCATAACTCCTTTCATGTCGAAATCTTGTCTTCAATATTTTATTAATTAACATATTTCCTTGTTGATAATGATTTGTGTCAAAACATTCTACTATGCATGCATTGAAATGAGAAAAAACTATTCTGTTGAACTTTTGCATTATTGTTTTCCTGAAATGATGAATAAGTTGTTTTTATGTTCTACAAATGAATTTTTTGGATGAAAATGTTGTCAAAGACAAGATGTTATATTCAATGGAAGGTTAAGGGTAAAATTGCATTGGGATAATAATGAACTTAAATGATATAATGAGCTATGAATAAGCATTATAATTGAAAAATAAAATATGGTTCAATTAATAAAGGTTGTGGTGTGAATATAATTATCTCGATGCTTTTAGTAAGATCTTGATCATCGTATTAATAATTTGATTTCCATCCATAAAGTCAACATTTTGAAAAATAGTAGTCCAAACCTTCAAATATTAATTTATAGTTTCTTCTTTATTTTGATGTAAAATTTATATATTAATATGTCAATCAAAAGATGATGGCTCGTGAGCATATCAATTTTAAAATCTGTATGTTAGTTAGAATTTTAGTTAGATTTAACTAATCGTTCGAGTTTAATGAGCTTCGAACCATCTTAAAATATATAATTTCATTTTAAATGCTCAATCTTTTTTAAGAAAAATAACTGGAACCCTTGTATATTTGATCTGTACTTTTTTATTCGTTTTGATAGGAAATTTATTCCCTTAACGCATCATGACTTTTTGTCAACTCAATAATATCTTCTTTTAAGGGAGACATTACACAGGAATTCAATCTTAAGACTTATTCGGTAGTGATTTTGAGAATTGATTTTTTTAACGTTGGAGAGAAAAGTAAGTCTTACCTGTAAGAGAATAAGTCAAAAATGACAGATTGAATAGTAAAATAGCGGTCAAAATTTTGATTTTTTGAGGTGAAAAATAATACCAAACATGCACTTATAAATTATGTAATTTGGAAAAACAAACTAATATAAAAAAATAAAACAATATTCATAATTAATAGGGATTAAAATTTTAATTCTAAGTTAAGTTAAAGTCAACCATTAATACCACAAAATTCACAACTTTTTAATCACACGTTTTATATATTTTTATCCCATCAAACTGGATGAAATCTCTTTATTCTTCTCTATGAAGTATAACCTACCATGAATAAAGTCACTTAGCTAGGTTTAAAAAAGAAATAAAGGAGATAGAGTGATTTGACAGGTTTTTTTGTTTTAATTTTTTAATTTGTTCAATTATGCATCGATATATGTCCCACCTATTTTTGAATTTGAATGTGTAGTTTGATTGAACCTACCATACCAACACTATTGTACACATGCCTTTAAATTATAGGTGGAACCATGTCATGTAGGTGGCCTTTTTCTAAAATTAAACAAATAAAATAATAGTGAATGTTATTTCAAGTTTCAACAAAGTTTGTTTTACTTTTTGGTGCTGTGACCTAACCTCCACGATATTTTGTAAAACAAAAACAGGGCAAAAGAGAATTTGCCTCCAGATTACGTAAATCTCCCACCAAAATTCATCACCTGATTCAATAAATAGTATAATTTCATAGTCTAACAAGAACACTTTGCTCTGATATATACGTATATACTTATTCAAAGTAAAGTTGGGTAGAAGAAAATGTGGAGATCGGAGATCTGTTTAGCATTAGCAACTTTAGCTTTATTCTTGTTTGCATCGGCTCTTGCAGATGATGTTGCTGTATTAACCGAAGAAAACTTCGAAAAAGAGGTCGGTCAAGATCGCGGCTCTCTCGTTGAGTTCTACGCTCCTTGGTACACTTTAAAATTCTATTTCTATCCATACGAGTTTTTATAACCTATACATGTAATTCAATATTTTTATATTTGAAACTTGGTTTTTGTATTGCCTTTTTTGATTATTTCTTATTGTTTATCAGTGTGCTCAGAAAACGAAAATACTTTGCTTTAATGGATCTCTGATTTTTTTAATTTGGTTTATTGATCTAGATCTGACTTAGGTCGAGTTTTTGATAATTTATGTATTGTCGGTCGAATCCGATGTTATTTTCCTAGTATCATATCATCACTTTTAATTATTAAATATACTATATGTTGTTAAACTTACAACTTTACCTATTAAAAGCAAATTGAGAAGGGTGGTTTTGCTTCAAATAAGTAATGCGAATTTCTTTAAAATTTAATTAATGGAGAATTAAACTCAAGTGGTACAGATTTGTGGTTGCTGCTCTGGAGTCCACGATTCAATTCGCAGTTGTTGCGATCTTGATGCCATTGTGTCTATTAAATGTGTTTCTAACTCAAGATTTTTGGGGGTAATAATGGTGTGAACTGCTCATGACTGCTTCTATCTATTACCATACTACAACAAGCTAAGACCTGTTTGCAATGAATATGGGGTCTGCTTTCTATTCAGTATATTGTGTTTTAAATTCTTATTGCCGTATTTTTTGTCAATTGATTGTGATGAGTGAGCTATAATTTGGTGTTTCCTTCTAGGTGTGGGCACTGTAAGAAGCTTGCTCCTGAGTATGAGAAGCTAGGTGCAAGTTTCAAAAAGGCTAAATCTGTTTTAATTGGAAAGGTTAGCCCATTTTGAAACTAGAGAAGTTTTCTTTATATTTGAAACTCATGTAAACACATGCGAAATCATACATCGATGTTGAGTTACTGTGATTGTTGTCCTATAATTCTTCAGGAGTTTATGAGCTCACATGCAGTTCTGATGTCAAAATCATCAATATAATCATCGGTGAAGTGCTTCCCTTTTTGTATGTTACTTTAGTATGCAGTGTGCCCAATTTCTACCTATAACCCTGTGAACTCATTAAATTGAGGCCGACCGTCAATTGAATTATACAAAAGCAGAATACTGCAAACGACCAAGAGTGGGTCTTCTTATTAAGCCGTTTTGCCAACTACATATATCTCATACATTAGATATCCATTTTAGTGGTGAGTACGACTTATAGTTTACTCTTATGACCTTAGCCATCCGACATGAAAGCAATACCATTTGTCTGGGTGCTATGGGTTTATTCCAATACTTATTTGCTTAACTTACGAATTACACTTTGTTTACAGGATGATATATTGTTAAAGATCTCTTAGAATATCCAAAGACAATTGTAGAATAATTTAACGATACATTCACTATTTTTTCCCCTTCCTATTCGATTATCAATTGTCCATTACAATAAAATTAGAAGTCATTTCATTTTACGATGCTATTCTTCCATTGTAACTTTATTATGGATCACTTGATTGCTAAAAGGAGAATGGTGACCTTTACCCCACTAATTTATTTTGTTTGCTTAACAGTGTGTAACTGTAACAGATTTAATGATGACCACACTAACTGGTTGGTTGTCACACTCGTTTTTATTAGACAAATCAGCAAGGGAGACTTGTTTCCATAACTTGATCTATTGTGGTATTAAATACATCTGAAGATCAGTTTGTTGGGTTGCGTCAGTTCTTGAGGGTTTCTTAGAGCAAACGTCTTGATTTTATTTGGCATTTGACTATAGAAATGATTGAACTACATTTTTCATTTAGTTTCAGTTAGTAAACAATATTTAGATGTCGACGTTGTATTAAATTATTTGCTGTAGGTTGATTGCGATGAGCACAAGGGCGTGTGCAGCAAATATGGTGTTTCTGGGTATCCCACCATCCAATGGTTTCCTAAGGGGTCTTTGGAACCCAAAAAGTGAGTTTATGCTCCACCCCCCCCCCCTCCCCCCCACTAGCATTCCTGATGGATTATTCAGTGGTATTCTAATTCTAACTTTCTTTTTTCTCCTTTAGGCTGGTATTGTTGAAACACTTGATAGCTTAGTGAAGGAGTTTATCAGTGCAGAAGGTGAGGAGAAGAAAGCTGTATTCAGTAGGTTGGAGGAGGAAGCTGAGAAGCTGAAAGGTTCCACCGCAAGGTATTATAAAGGCTTATTGTAGTTTCATTTGTATAGAAGAACCTGTCCTCCTTGAAATTATTGTTGTTGGTCAACATTCCAGTATTGCTTACCTGTCAAATATATGACATACGAAGGGGACACATTTGACCTGCTTTTCACTTTTTCTTCACTGGTTGATTATTCTTAGATATGGGAAGATCTATGTGAAAGCTGCCAAGAGCTGCATGGAGAAAGGGTCTGATTATGCCAAGAATGAAATTCAACGGTTGGATCGTATGCTTGCCAAGGTAAGAAAATACTGAAGCTTGCTCCCTATTTCCTGTGGAAATTGGATACCGTCCTTAATTATTCACTGTCTTCTCTCCAATGATTTATCAGTTTATCGCAATTTTGCTGAAAATTGTGACTTCATTTGATTGTCAACATGCTTTTTTGTAGGAATTTTCTTTTACTGGCAAGAACATGATATACTTTGTTGTTTTAGTATATTGTTTTGAATTCTACAAGCATTAATATCTTGAGTTATTTTGTCTGAATGCGATATGATATACTTTAGGAATTAAGAATCAAAGGTTCTGCGAGATGTTCTTCATTTATCAATATTGTCTTTCAAAATTCAATTTCGTTCTTAGATTTGACAACGATATAATCTTCAAGTACAGAAATCTCATAATGAACTTGTACCTGACGTCTCTTTGGCCCTTTTTTTGTAGTCAATAAGTGAAGCAAAGGCTGACGAGTTCACTCTGAAGAAGAATATCCTGTCTACCTTTGCTTGAAGGCAGTAACGAATTACACTGTTTGACGCTTGAGATCACAGCATCTATTTCATTGAGGGTTTTCCCCTTGTCGAGGAACGTGTCATCTTGCCCATTTCACTCGTGTTGCATATCTGTTAACCACATGGAGAAATGATAAGAAGAGAGGGATTAGTTTATTTCATTTACCAGTAACAATAATGTAACATTTTATTTAAGGGATTTTTTCTGATAATTATATCATGTTTTTGACAAGTGAACGTAGTTACATAGTTAATGAATGCTTCTTGGTTATTTGCTGTGAAGCCTGTGTTGAAAGATTGCAAGCAGAGAGGTGCTCGATCAATCATACAACTGAATCTTGTGATGCTTATAGAATAACTTGACATCTAACAGCCTGTGCTGCCTATACTTTGTCATCCTTGGGCTTGCTTGCTATAAGCTCCCGTTCTCGAGCTCCTCTCCATCCTATAAAGTTGCATTTGGCACGTCGAATTAGACCGGGTAAAGAATTCAATGTAACATTGAAAGAAGCATGCCTTCTTTTTAGTCAATATGCTTTTCACTTCCTTCTATATGATTTAAGACTCTAAATAGTGAAGATTTTTGAAAGGGGAAAAATGAAAGAAAACCTGCGAAAGTAAACTTTCTTGGAAGAGCATTTGTTTTCTTGTTACTCTTTGCTTTAGATAGATTTTTCTTTATTGACAAGTTACTTTATGTTTCTTTGAGGGTCAATCCAAGGTGAAAATAAGTCCACAGCCTACATGGAAAATGTTTATTGCACATCATCATTTACGTATTTTTTTACAGGTTGATGAGGTGACGGTAAATTAAATTAAGATTGGCTAAATCTCTTCGCAACTTAAACGGTTGTACTTATGTAATGTGGGTTAATGACAAAAGAAATTGGAGGAATTTCTTATTTTTTTATTTCATTGGTGATATTTTCGTTTAGTATAATTCCATAACATCATTGGTTGATAAACAAATTTGTAAGTTGTGAAGTGCATGAAGCACAATCGCACATATTTTGCTATTCTATCTCCTAAAGCACGTTCGAGTTCATCCATTTTGACCAACGGGCAACTTGGCTCAGCCAATGCATGCCCGCCATTTGCTTGCATAATCCCGCCATTTTTCCACGTAGTTATTCTAAATTAATCAATGACAAAAAATATTTCTTATTTTTACTCTCTTAACTTCCTACTGAAATTTCATCTAATAATAATGTGTATACTAAAAGCAAGTTTAGGAAGTATTTATAAATAGTTTAAAATATAAATAGAAGAAATGAGTGATGAATAGATAAATAATATCTGCACGTTAATGGATTAAATTTTGATCCAAATATGATGAAATTAATGGGAGATAAATTTACGGTTTCAATCCGATAATCCAATCAAAAGCCGATCCAATAATCCGTTGACTAAATGAAACAAATATGTATATAGGTCAATCCGATCCGATAACAACTCGATCCAATTTGTTATAATTATATAATATATTTTATATATTATCATATAAAATATTACACTTTTTTTTTTTTCATTTTAAAGCAGTATTATACTTTACACATAATCTTCAAATAATAAATCATATTAGATAATAGCATAAGATTGTTAATTGAAATACTTGGAGAGTTTTTAATTTTTTAATTAAAATAAGATTAAAAGATAATCTATTTATTTTATAAATTAAACAATCAAAAAAGCCAACAGTTGGAGTTGCTTTCATTGTTCCCATCTTCCTACTTTCCAAATCAAATACTTACTAGAAGATCATAGGATTTGCAATCTATAAATAGATAGGCCGAAAATTGGGTAAAACGTTATCTAGGTCTTCTATTTATAGGACGTAAAAGTTGGCAAATATAAAATTTTTATCTTCCTAATTTTTTTTCAATTTTGAATTGAATTATCAGTTCGAATATCCGATAACATAGTAAATCAGATGTGGATTTAACAATCAAATATTCGTTGAATTATCGAATCAGATAGGATCGAAAATTATTCTTATCAGATCGAATAGGAACAGATCCCACAGTAGGTCTTATAAAATAAGTGAATAAAAAGCAATTTCATCTATTATAAAAATTAGCCAAACATGGGCTAAGAGTATAGAAACTGAAAGTGAACTTCGCTTGTGAAAGGAAAATATGATAGCATGGGAAAATGAAAATTATACGAGTTCAATCAATTATCAATATGCGCTTTCACCATCAATCTTGACATACAATAAGCTATTTGACTAGCTCCATATGCATGTAAGGATCTGAAGGCTACCCTTAACATTTTTAAGTACATAAATTCGATATGAAGATTAGGAATGAAGAATGAGTTACAAAAATTCGAGTTTCATAAGAAAATCGAGAGTTAAACACCATAAAGGCAAATCACAAAGCTAACCATGTAACCTACATATGGCTTCTAACAATTGGACAATACCACAATAAAATACGATCCAAGGACTTCAGAATAAGAAGTCACCAATCAATTCATCAACCAGAGAAGTTAATATTCTATTCTCAATCTCTACACCTT